CCCCGCCCCTGCGTCCGTCTGTCCTCCGCCCATCGCCGCGTCCGTCTGTCCTCCGCCCATCCGCACGTCCATCCCCACGTCCTCCCTCCGTCCCTCCGTCCGTCTGTCCTCCACCCATCCCAACATCGATCCCTACGTCCTCCGTCCGTCCGTCCTCCACCCATCCCAATGTCCGTCTGTCCTCTGTCCGCCCCAACGTCCATCCCGATGTCCTCCCTCCGTCCCTACGTCCTCCGTCCGTCCGTCCTCCACCCATTGCCGCATCCGTCTGTCCTCTGTCCATCCCTACGTCCTCCATCCATCTGTCCTCCACCCATCCCCATGTCCATCTGTCCTCTGTCCGTCCTAACGTCCATCCCTACGTCCGTCTGTCCAACGCCCATCCCTGCGTCCTCCATCCGTCTGTCCGTCCATCCCTGTGTCCTCTGTCCACCCTGATGTCCATCCCTCTGTCCTCCACCCGTCCCAACGTCCGTCCTGACGTCCGTCTGTCTGACATCTGTCCCGACGTCCATCCCTACGTCCTCCGTCCATCCCCACGTCCATCTGTCCTCCATCCGGCCTGACGTCCATCCCTGCGTCCTCCATCCATCCCTCCGTCTGTCTGTCCTACGTCCGTCTGTCCTCCGTCCATCCCCGTGTCCATCCCTGTGTCCTCCACCCATCCCAATGTCTGTCCTGACGTCCATCTGTCTGACATCTGTCCCGACGTCCATCCCTACGTCCTCCATCCGTCCCTCCGTCCTCCGACATCCATCCCAATGTCTGTCTGTCCTCCGTCCGTCCCCACGTCCGTCCCCACGTCCATCCCCACGTCCATCCCTGCGTCCTCCACCCATCCCAATGTCCATCCCGATGTCCGCCCATCCCGACGTCCGTCCGTCCGTCCGTCCCCCACGCCTCCGCCCACCCATCCCGACGGCCATCCATCCCGACGTCCGTCCGTCCGTCCATCCCTCCTTCCGCCACCCCCGGCCCCATTTTTGGGCCCCCCCCGCCCCGTTCTTGCCCCATTTTACCGGGCCCCCGCCCGCTTGGTTTTTTCTCCTCTTTCCCCCATTTTGGGGGCAGGAAATTTTTCTGTTTTTTAATTATTT